GCAGAAAGAGAAAGAAAACAATTTCTTTGTTAGCACATTAGCAATTCAAGAGGATTGAATTCAGTTCCCAGCAGTATCAATGGCTCCCTGTATAACATGTCAATCCTCACTTCCCATATGGAGCTTCACCACTTAGACAAGCTTAAATCTTATTCTTTGACTCTGAATCCTAGATTTTAGATCTGACACTGATGCACAGCTCATATCAGTCTGATTAGTTATTACATAAAAAATTCAGGTCAAAATGAAGACATTGAAATATAGGCATCTGAACTCCCACTAGAAGCAAAAAATTTAAGATCCAGAAATAAAAAGACTGACTCAGTTTGTTCTGAAATGCTAATCTACTGATTGGTCCCTCTTGGTTCTCCAAACACCACCAACTGCACCAGCATTGTCCTCAACTAAGGACAATGGAGAACTCAATTTTCTAGCCACTGCAGCCTTGCACTATATCCTTTCCTCAGATTCGCTCACAGTCATGACCATGCTGATGCTGTGACAACATGAAGCCACACATCATATCAGGCCTGCAAACATACCACAACTTTGCACCAACCATGTTTTCACAAAAAGCTTAATCAACTAGAACAAATTCTCCCAGCAAACTTGCAACACACTGATACCCACTGACAGTTAGGACTCTGCCATGGAAATACTGCCTCTGGCACCCTGGTGCTGTAGAACATAGGAAAATCTGTTTTACTGCAGCTGAATGAGTGAAGATGCTGTGATACATTAAATCTGGACTGAGTTTATACAGACAGATCAAGATCTTTATTTACGAGGTATCAATTGTTATCAGATGAGCTAATCTGAAGGTTTGTCTTCTACTTGGAAAAAGAATAATCTTCTCCAGAAAAAATGAACATAAACACCATTCGGATCCAATGTACTGCAAAATCTTCATTTTCTGAAGGACTCTTGAACTTGTAGTCCTTTTCAAAAATTAACACAGATTTTCTTATATATTCTACAGCAACAACACATCAGAGATGGTATTTCCATGGAGGAGTTCTAACACTAGCTGCCTAATCTGGAATATGAACCTAAGTATGCAGAGCTGTTTAAGACACAAGTTTTACATGAATGGTCTCTCAAAAGTACTCCTGCATTGCAATGAAAATTCAGTGTAAGTCAGCTGAGTCTTATCCTTCCCATACCTGTTACCTTAAAAATGCTAGAATTTCTGATGCAACACAAATTCATAGTATTCTTATTAGATATTACTACACTTTGTGAAATATTTTTACATCACAATAAGAAGAGTAACAGAGAACACTTTTACATTAAACTATCATTGCATCAGGTATGATGGTTTACATGAACATCCCACAGATTACCCAGAAGAACTTGGCTGGTTTTGCAATGGTTTGCCACACAACCCTGTGGTAACATTGTTTTAACACAAGATTACATGGCACATAGCCATGAATCCAAAAATCCCGATGGTGCATTTAGTATGGACTGCACTAACTAGTGCAAAATGCTGTTGTAGGTGTTTGGTACTGGCACAAATGCTGTGCCACGCTACCACGTCTCATTTACTGTTTGCCACAGTTTATAAAGAGGTGGCTGCTTCCTTCCATGAAATAACTAACAGCAGTAGAATTAGTCAAATATTTAGAAAGTAACTCAGTGTGAAACACTGCCTCTAAATGCAAGCAAGTTTTTTTTGGACAGTGTCTTTACTCCTTTATAGAGCTCTTTGCTTTGTCAATACGCAGAACAAAATAAGTCTGTCAGGAAATTGCACTTGTTATCAGCTCATTCTCCTTAGATGGCAGTACTGTAAATATTTTTCTTCATTATCACTCTGTCAGTAAATAACTTTGAAGGTGTGATTTAATCAAGAGGAATGCCAATATTTCACAACTTTTGGCCTACCTTAAAGGAAATGAGTAATAGAGAAACCCATGCACCAGGAAAAAAATGAGCAGAGGTAGTGGACCAAGGTCTATCAAATAGGGTTCAAGACCACTTTGGTTGAATGACAATTGTTATATTTGCAGTACAGTTCATCTGTTTTCTTATCTGGTAAAGCGTTCTATAATAAATCAAAATTTATTGCATGTTTTGCAACCTTGTCAAAAGGCACGCCTAAGATTTTTGCTTCAGAAATAAATTCCACCCAACTGTGTACAAGAATTCACTTGACAATTTAGACAGACATAGCTAAAATATTTTTGTATTTTCTAATGCCAATACTTTTGATCTAGCACCAACTCATCTGTTTTGCACAATATCACATTTACTTTCTACTAAATTCAATTATGTTTAAAAACTATCAGGAGATTTCAAAGTAATTCTCCAATGACAACTACTCATGAGGAAAAAACAACAAGGTTTTTGGCCAAGAACCCCTATTCTCAAACTCATAACTGCTTCTCATCCCCCTTTTCTTGCCTTTTTCCCTTTTGGGAGTGTTTATCTCTGAACAAAAAAGCGCAACAGAATGTCGTGATCAACCTCAGTAATATTTTTTTGGTGTACACAACTAAATTGCTTGTGAGGCTGGTCATATGTTTCTGCATATTGTCTGTAAAAAAAGACAGCTGAAACAAAACTTTAGAACAGTCCCAAGCTCTTCACATTACTATAAACAGCATTGGCAAACTCCAAGTAAGTATTAATGAAACCAAATGTTTACTGCCAAAGTGCTTCAAATTTTTCTGGGAGTTTTTTTTTTTTTTTTTTACTTATTAGCAATTAATCAAAAATAGGTAGAGAATAACCAAATCATTACAGCTTGAAGTTCAGCATTATAAGACTCACCAATTGTATGCAGGATCACATGGTAAAATTGCACCTAAGTATGCAGTAAGTGAAGGGCTTTCTAGGATACGTGGTGGCATGCCTGTTTTCCTTTCTACAGGCACTGTTCAGGGTGAAAGAAAAATATTTTTATCATATAAGCAGAAAGTTTCCAAAAATTATGGCTGCTTCACTATGAAGTTCATTCACTATCTTGGTCTACTCTGAATACACCAGGACAGACACTTGAGATAGGTCTGTTTATTACCCTCATATGAAACTCTTCCAAACACAACGAACAAACCACTGCCTTTAAAATACTGCAAATGCCATTTTCCTCTGCTATCAAATTCTATGTCTGTTTGCAGTTACATGAAAACCTGAAATCCCAAGCAATATGACTTCAAGAGAACCGCTTACCATTGTGTTTATGCTGCTGGCCAAAGAATCCACACCAATGATGTTTAAAAAATGTTTAGGAGCATTAGATACAAGCATTAACACTTTTCTATTGATCATATATGATGCTATTGCTATAAGCCTGACCTCAATTTGAAATGCTAAATATGCATTACTGTAAAGACTTTTTTTCTTGTCATTATTTATTAATTTCTGTTTAATGCTGTTTCCTACTCATATTAGCAAAGCAACTGAAATTAACTTGGCTGCATTACAAATAAATATTACCACATATCACTTCATTAAAAACCTGCATGTGTGCTATTATAGTTGGAGTAACCAGTTAATATGTATAAACTGCTAAGACTGGAAAACACTTATTTGTCCAACCTTGTTTTCAGAGATAACTTTCTGAAATCTACACCTTCAAAACTAAAAATTTCTCTGTTCACTGTCTTTTGTATTGGAAAACTCAAAATAAAATCCCTTCTAGGTTTTTAACTTCATGATTTAAGTTTTGAAGGGGAAAGAACTCTAACACCCATACATTAAAAAATAGGGTATTCTGAAAATCTTCATAACTTTCAAGGTCATAAAGTCCTTCTAAGGATTTATATTCAGCTTCGTGTAATATTAAAAGCTGTATGTCAGCAGTGAATCCATGTATCCTTATCACCTATAGATTTTTGGCAGACACAGGAAAACTTCTTTTATTACAGATACTTGTGTCCTATTCTTTGACCACTTGAAGCTCAGTGAACTTTGTTCTGTCCTAGGTTTTTCATATGCTTGACTCAAAGTGCACTCAGGTCTCCTTCTTTCTCCCTGTCTCTCAAGTCTTTCCACAGTACCTTGAATTCCCTTCTGCATTTCCTGTTCAATACCCCCAAGTCACTATGACATTTGCTGGTAGGTGGGCAGAGCATCCCAGAGTACGAATGGCTTTTGCTAAACAACCTGCTCTCTGGTTGGTATGTGCAGATTGCGGCAAACAATTACTAAAGCTGAGATTTCTCCCTCTTTCCTTCAGCAAATTTACTAGTAGAATATTTGTCCTCTAAGTGACAATCCTCTCTAGAACTTGGAGAACTTAAACCTTTCTAAACAAACAAACAAACAAACTCTTGGAAAACCTGTAAACCCCAAAATTTCTGAGGAGAAAAAAACCCCCATATATAATTTAAAAAAGATTATTATGGAAATAAGAGAAAATGATAGAAAGACAAAAGAAGTTTAAGGAATGGAGCAGACTTAATGAGGACAGAAAACCAGGAAAAAAGGAGGACAATAACATGTGCACTTTTTAGTTGTGTGCTGTTCCTATCTTTTCAGAAAGCATGGTTTTAAGAGTACTTTTTTAAAAATACGCATGCAATTTTGGTTTGTTCTTAACTAGGTTTTGTATAAACCAAAGGAGATTTGAAACCAAAAACCTAGAACTGAACTCTGTGCTTCATTACTCTCATTCAACTCACTCCCGTCACTGTTTCTTCTAAGAAAAAAGGTCACAGAGTGGCCTTTTCACAGTACTGGTGAAGAGGATAGTCAGATAACTCATTCTATTTTCTGTGGCATGTAAGTAACTGAGGAACTACATACTGATCAGACACGTAAATTACGCAGAAATGTCACCATCAAGTCACCACATTTCTATATCATCAGCCTTACTTTGCTTGTGAAAAGGGTAGTGGTGTCTGTGAGAATTCATATGGGCAACATTTATAAATTGGCTTCTGCTGATTTATGTAAGACAGAGGACTTTATCCCAGTGATTTGCAAATTACATCTCCAAGGGAACCTGCAAGTTTCTTTTCCTTCACAAATACAATGACGACAAAACAACTTACGTTCAACTTGATCAAACATTACTGAGAACAAGAAATCTCTTGGTGTCATGTAATATTCTCCTTCATATTCCAATGATGCAAAATGCATGAAGCGGTGCTTTCGAAGAGACAGCCTTTCATCCATTTCTGCATGAATGACATCTTCCTTCTGAAAAAGAAAAAAAATCCATGCAGAAAGATTGTTGCATTTGTAGACCAAAGCTGTAAATAGAAAGAATCCTATACCCAATCTTGATCAAACTCAATATTTTGTGGGTAGCCACAACAAGACGCTACCAGGAATTAAAGCTTTTATGACACAGTCTTAATGAATGGCATGCTTATACGACATACAAAGTATTTTTTGGCTTCATTGAGAGCACGCTTTAACAACACAGCTGAGCCAAATTAATGGCTTGCTGTCACTAAAGAGTCCCCCTGCTTCCCACTTCCCTGCTCTTGGCTATATGGTCCTGTTCCTCCTTGTTTGCCAGCTCCGCTACTTGGACTCTTGCTGAGACAAATTCAGCTCACTAACTCAACTAAAAAACTAAACCCACCAAAGAGCAAATAGTATTTTTTCAGGTTAGTGACTAGCTCAGCAAAGGCTGAAATGTGCTCTGTTTTTGTGCAAATGATCCACTCCTGAAGTTAATTATCAAGTGTTGGAGCAACTCCTAAAATGGGAGAATAATGATGTTCTAGTTTAAATATGGGCCTGTCTTTGAGAGGAGTCAAAAAAACGGGAAAAGCAATGAAAACACCAACAAAAGAGCCAAAGATCATATCACTAAACCCAAAGATTCAACTAGTCAAGCAAACAGAAACCTTCCAACTCCACCCTTAAATATTGAGAGACTCAGGATCAAAATCATTCAAGTTGACAGCTCTACAAGCAGTAACAGCACTTACTGGCAGCAAGAGAGGACACAGACACAGTGAAACAGAGATGTTTACATTTTAGGATTTCAGAGATAGTAACTGACAACAGGAAACAGGAAAACAAGAAACTCTAAAAGTCAGAACACACACTGTGTGTATTTGGACATTAATCGTGGAACAACAACTATCATAATATATTATACTTAATTATAATTCTATGAAGGCTTCAATTTGCCATTTAATCCCATGCCTGGCACCCCTGTGTTAGCATTAAGGACTTGTCAAAATACTTCACTGCATGATAGGATACAAGCGCCTTGTGATAGTCAATTTTAGTTTCCCCTCGTAGCATGTTTATTTCCCTCAAACCTTGGGTTTCAGTGAAGGGGGAGAGAGAACCAACGACAAGAAAAAAACCCAAATACTCACAATGAAGATTTAAAACAGTCATATTCTGATACGCCAGGAAAATGAGGGCTACTTCTAAGTGTCTGAAGCCAAGATTTCCTTTGGTTTAGATAGAACCATTTCGTACCACAGTCACTGTCTTAAGCTTCTTACACAGTATGGAGCTTCATCATGGCCTAGAACACAAGCGCACTGTTGTTGTTCAGACCTGTGTGTTCTGGAAAACACTGCTGAAAAATAAGTCTAATGTAGCAGGAACTTTATTCTTTTTAAAACTTTGAGGGACAAGTGACTCTGTAACTGCTTAGTTAACAAGACTTAACAAACACTGCAAATATCAAGTGAATAATTCATAGCTGCTGGGTATTAACATGCAGCATTCTTATTAAAATCATCTCCTTCTCAGAGTAACATGAGCAATTTTTGCCTGACGGTAAATTTAAAAAGAAAATGGAAAATTGCTTCACAGTTGTCCTTTAACTAAAATTATGGAATGAAAAGCAATCTTTCTGCACAAATACAAAATAAAAAAGTTCAGACAAGAAGTAAAAAGCTAATCCTACAACATCTTCAAACCAACTGGGTTTTCAAGTTTTTTAAGTCTTGCAGTATTTTCTGAATACTGTCTAAAGCTAAACTTGTTACTGATATCAAAGCACTGAATTTCAGCAATCCACGATTTTAACTGAAATTGATAGGTACAAATTCACGTATTAACTCTGAAGAGTGCCTTGTATTTGAAAAAGAATGTACTCCCATCAGAATTACAATCACGTGTGACTGTGGATTCATCAAACCTTTTCTTTTTGTGAAACTAGAATCCCTGATTTGCAAAACAGCCTTGGGTAACTTCTTATGAAAGTCAGCTTCAAATACTAGCACAAATAAGAAAAGAAAACCTTACAGGATGAAATGTGGCAGCTGTGCCATCTCCTACTTCGTTTTAAAAGCTCTTGCAAAATTCCTGACATCCTGCCACTGTGTGAGAAACTCGGCATCTGCAAAGAGCACTCTGACCCCTCTGGACATGAGCACAAGCTCAGCTAGAACAGCTACAAACTCTTTTAAAAGCTGCATCCCACCCTCTCCTTCACTGTTGTTTTCTTCACTGACACAAATGTCTCCAAGGCTTCAGCAAAGCAGGGATGCCAGACCCACCAACGACAACTGGTAAACGATGGAAATATATGGGAAGAAGTAGAGAGCTCTAAAGTTTTGAAAAAAGATTAGAAGCAAAACTCCCATTTGTTCCGAGAAGAGATAAATGAGTGAATAACTATTCTAATGACTATTCCAAATGCCTAAAGATTAAATAAAAATTGCGTTTTGAAGAAAAGGCTGATTCAATCACATAAGATTGATCTTCTTTTGAAGTACCAATCTAAAGTGTGTACAGAAGAGCAAGCTCTCTCAACAATTCAGTATCCTTCCCACTTCAATTAAATCCTGACTAATTTCCAAGTACTTTTTCCTGAGTCATCCAAGGAGGCCGTCAGGTAAAAACTATTTGACATTCCTGACATTTCTAAAAACACTGTCAAAGCTCATTTTGCTCATAAAAATGCATGTATTGGGCAAAAAGCAGAGTTTTCCTCTCTAATTGTATTCCACAAAATGACTTTCGAGTAAAGACAAGTATACTGCAGGAAACAATTATGTATTTAAGGCTGAACTTCACATATTAAGGTATCTGTAATCTAACATCTCAGCGATTTCCAACAGTGGAAATTCAAAGCAAGCTGGATACAAAAATTCAAATTTTGGAGAGGCAATGGATGAGAAGAATCTATTACTATTGCTCCCACAAGATTCTTGTAAGCATAATTTAAAATAACCCTCAGATTGACTTGGGCTTATTTCTGTTTTTAACAGCGCCATACAAGAAGAAATCAAACCACAAAGGGCTATCTATGTGGCATGAACGGTAAGGCTTGGGCTGAAATTCCATTCTTAACTTGTTATACTGTGTGTGGGTCCAACCAGGTCTCCAAATGCTGCGTGTTCCCACATGCTCCACAGCATCCCCACAACCATGTGAACTGAGAATGAAGTTTCAGCTTTAACGTGGAATTTAGTTGCCTTTATGGTTTTATGTGAAGCCTCCAATGCCAATTTCACAATGTCCATGGTAAAGCTATGACAGTTGATGGTAAATTAGAATTGAATGACATCAAAAGGGCTCTAAAAGGATTCAAGTGTTTTGCTCTGCAGTCGACATGGCACGGGATCAGTGGCTGACCAGACACTGGCGTCTACAAGCATTACCAAAGACTCTGTTTTCCTTCTTGGCTTCCTGCAATGCCTAAGGGCAACAACATTACTTCACAGAATTAATTTTCGGGTTGATATAATGAATCTATTTATCGGTCTCTTAATTTAAGATGCTGTTAAAGAATTCATTCAAATATTTGGCTTTGATTTTTTTGGCACAAAAAATAGCAAGCTTAAGTCAAATAAAACTCTTATGTCTATTCTATCTTTGAACTTCTTTAAAAAATACATTAAATAAAAATGAAGAGTGACATAAATAAAACCTCAATAATCCTTACCTGTGGTTTTAGTAACACTGCTGATCAATGTGATGTGATTTTTGGTAACACTAATTCTTCACCCATTAAAAATCTAAGTCCTTGTGTACAAACTCAAATATTTACTGCTGATTATTAGTCTGAAATGACTTAAAATAGCACATACACTTACCTCTCCCTTCAATTTCAAATTCTGTCTTCCCCTTTCATTCATTTGACTTTTTCTCCCTTTGCACAGAATTTGGTATTTTGATGTGCTTATGGTTTTCATGTTTTCCATCTTATTTTTTTATGCTTTTAAAATAGAATGCACTTTCCAGTTAATATTTCCAACATAATTTTTCTTTCTTCACTCTATTCCTTTTCATATAATCTACTTATTTTGCCTCTTTGTATCCTTTCTTCCATCATCTATAGACCCTCTTTCACTTTCCCTTTCCCTCAGGAAAAATTAAAATTAAGCTATTTTAAAATTTCTTTTTCCTTGTCTGAAAAGAGGCTCAATGTTTTTTTTTTCTTCCTTTCTTTAATCTGGAAGAATTAACTTGTACCACTCACTTTACCTGCTACAAGAATAACTAAACCAATGTGTGGGATGTAATTAAAATCCAGTTGGTGCCAGCAGGCTCCCTGGGAGCCTTAGGTTTGGATCCATTAATTCACACTAGATCTACAGAAGAATTTAGAAACTCTATATCAAATTCTGTAAGGGGGATGAAAACTTTACAGTTAACTAGTGTCATTATTGTATCTCAGTTTCAACTCATTTGAATCCAATTCAAAATGATCAAAATAACAGAAAACGCAACTTGACCTCAAACCCTGCTGCACATGTTAATGTACCCAGTATGCATGCTGAATGTGCAGAGGATAATGCTCAGAACTCAAGGTTTGAAAGTTTCATATGATGCAAGAATTGATAGGTAAAAAGACTTTTGACAAGAAATGCATTTGATAGAAATATGTGACTTAGAGAAAGCTAACATTTAAGATTGTAATATTTAAGAAAGCTTGTATATGTGCAAAAGTAGTTTGTGCTTTCACAATAAAAAAGTGAGCCTTGTATTATGCCCAGTCTTGATCAAATGTGCCAGACAAAACAAACATCACATTAAAGACATAAAATCAGAAACAAAATGTTCTCATGAAGTAAATTGATCCGTATTATATTTTTCAATGTCATATTTTCTGACCTTGCAGACCAAACTGCCAGCCTAGACATAAAGTAAGCCAGGGGGAAAAAAGCACTGAACTTATACAAACTTATTTCTCTGGAAATAAGTTCTAAGTATTTGAATGACTGTTTAGCAATGTGAAACTAAATAAACAACAACATTACTAAATATTCCAA